TTTTCAACAATGATGGTTCATGGTTAGAAAAGTTAATAAAATTAAAGTTTTTGGACATTTGATTTTTCACACCCAAATATCAGCCCAAATACTACACACTGAAATTGTTACAATCTGATCCTGCACACATCCTGGATCTTATTCTTTGCTCTTTGTTCATTTCATAATGTTTTATAGAAGTACTGGATCGGGACTCGGTATCGGCAGATGCTCAAAATCAAATGACTTGGACTCAGGGGCAAAAAAACCATGATCGGGACATTCCTAATAATTTACAATAAAATGTTCCATTATAATAACAAAAGTTCACACATAAGTTCATACAGTTCTGTTCCATATTGTACTATACACCAAGTTTCATCAAAATTTGACAAATTAGGGTTTAACTCATTGGGTGAACTGAGGTGGACTGACCCTAATCCACATTCACCAAGGCAGGGAGGCAACACGGAGCGAGTTACTCCACGATCTGCCCATGGATTCTGGACACCTGGGCTCAAGTGTCGTCCGAGCTTTCACGAAGGCCGAACCATCACTGAACAGCGAAGTAACAGGGACGAGACCGACTCTGGGCTCGATGCCGAAATCGCCCAAAACTCAGACGCCGAAAATGAAGAATTTGCTGGATTTGTAGAAGAGGAATGAACTGAAAAAGTGAGTGTATTGTTTTGTATTTTATGTGTTACAACTGAACAACGTTGAGAGTTTTTCTGAATGAGTCGAATAAAGTTTGACTGTTTTGTTTCGCTTAATGCGCCTTATGTATGAAAACAGACGAGAGAATTCATTTACAGAGAACCTGCGTGTGTCCCTGATCCACTTCCAGAGAGTCGGACCACCGACAGAGCGCCATCGTACAGTTGGCACGTTTTCAAGTCGTTCACATTAAGACACGTGCCGGAAAAGTGTTGCGCACAGAGCTGTAATCAGCAGAGAGATAAAGACACGGGTTCAGTTGTATCGGTTCCCGGGTGAAGCTGTCAGACGAGTGGAGCTGCCATAAATCGAGGAGTTTATGACCCGACCACAGACAAGCCGGCAAAAGGAGGCCAAGTGCGGCAGCCGTCAAAACACTGCAGACTTTATAGCGAGCACTTTATCGGAGGTCAGAAATCATCAACTAATCCAGTTCTAGAACAGAGCAAAAGTGTGTGTCATTTGTTCATTCGTTTTTTCAATATAAAACCAAAAATAAGAAAACGAAACAACAACTGTTTTCCTCATCGTTTGTCTCCAAAACCAAAATGAAAAAACGGATAATGATTCGTTTTTTTCAGTTTTTGATTTTGTGTTTTAAAGGAATAATGGAAAAAAACGGACCGGGACTGAGACCAGGACTTAGACCGGGACCAGACAAGGACTGAGATCAGGATTGAGACTGGGGAACAGGACCAGGACTGAGACCGGGACTGAAATAGGGACACAAGTCCAGGACTGAGACCGAGAGCAGACTGAGACTGAGACTAGGACCAGACCAGGACTTAAAATGGCTTAGACCTGGTTTAGTCCTAGTTCAGTTCCTTTTTAGTCCTGGTTTAGACCTAGTTTAGGCCTGGTTTAGACCTGGTTTAGAACTGGTTTAGTCCTGGTTTAGACCTGGTTTAGTCCTAGTTCAGTTCCTTTTTAGTTCTAGTTTAGTTCAGGTTTAGTCCTAGTTCAGTTCCTTTTTAGTCCTAGTTTAGTCCTGGTTTAGTCCTAGTTCAGTCCCTTTTTAGTCCTAGTTTAGTCCTGGTTTAGACCTAGTTTAGTCCTGGTTTAGACCTGGTTTAGTCCTAGTTCAGTTCCTTTTTAGTTCTAGTTTAGTTCTGGTTTAGTCCTGGTTCAGTTGTTTTTTTAGTCCTGGTTTAGACCTGGTTTAGTTCTGGTTTAGTCCTGGTTCAGTTCTTTTTTAGACCTGGTTTAATCCTGGTTTAGACCTGGTTTAGTCCTGGTTTAGACGTGGTTTAGACCTGGTCTAGTATTGGTTTAGTCCTGATTTAGAGGTGGTTTAGACCTGGTTTAGTTCTGGTTTAGACCTGGTTTAGACCTGGTGTAGTTCTGGTTTAGGTTTAAATGAGACAGAGTTTTAAATACTTGCTGAGGTTTTCCAGATTAACAGGTTGTGCTTTAGTAAAATATTGCAGTGGTGATATCTCATGGACTTTTTGAGTTACAGGTCAGATCTGTGGAGAGGAGACGCCGCTCACAGTCAGAATGTCTGTTTTTCTAGGTATTTTTGAGCGATAAAACCACCTGTAACTGAATAAAAGTAAAATAGAAACAGAAACAAACAGGCGACGCACCGCCAGCCAAAAGGTTCCACAGTGCGCCTTTAACGGGACAGAATGGGACGTTACCTGAGATTTATTTGCAGGCTCGATCTGCATATCCCGAGATCATTCCAGGGTATTTGGACACCACTGTGGGCTTTCCGCTCTTGAGGAAGCAGTAATATTTTCTGTGGGAGAGAAATAACTCAGGATATGTGACCACGCTGCTGCTTTTCACGATTAAATGTTCCACAATTATGAACAACGGCCCTGTTTTTATTATTATTATTGCTATTATTATTAATTTTATATACATTTTTTTGTGGTTCTTTTGAGACACTTTATTGAGCTGGTGTTAACTGAAAATCAATTTAACAAACGTGTCAGCAAAATACCAACCCCTGCCCTGCTTTTATTACTAATATACTATAAATTAATTCATTAATTTGGCCCCAAACTCTGGAACACTGGAACAGCCCCCACAGTGGAGAGTTTTAAGTCTCATCTTAAGACAGACTTTTATACTATGGCTTTTTAACACCGCGTGGGTCCTCTGTGTATTTTATTTATTTATTGTTTTTATATATTTTATTTTTTTAGTACTGCATTTATGTATTGATGATATTTTTGTTCATTAATTTTATTATTATTATTTAATAAAAAAAAATAAAATTACTGCTTTTATGTATTGATTTTTATTATTTTTGTTCATTCATTTTGTTATTATTATTATTTTATTTATTTATTTTATTTTTTAGTACCACTTTTATGTATTGATGATATTTTTGTACTCATTAATTTTATTATTTATTTTGTTTATTTATTTTATTTTTATTTTTTAATACTGCTTTTATGTATTGATTTTATTATTTTTTGCTCATTGATTTTATTTTATTATTTTATTTATTTAATTTATTTTTTCAGTACTGCTTTTATGTATTGATTTTATTATTTTTGCTCATTGATTTTATTATTATTTTATTTATTTAATTTTTTTTAGTACTGCTTTTATGTATTGATTTTATTATTTTTTCTCATTAATTATTATTATTATTATTATTATTATTATTATTTTATTGATGGATTCTATTAGTTTCCTCATGGTTGAAATGTAATTCTGCTGATTTATTTATTTATTTATTTTCCAAGTAAAATCTTTTAAACTGCTGTGTGAAGCACTTTGGAAACTGTTTTGTTTATAAAATGTGCTATACAAATAAACTTGGACTGGATTAATTGTGCACTACACAGCTTTTCTGGTGATGGGGTCCACCACCTGCTTGTCTCTGGACCTCCAACCAAAAAGTTACACAGTGCAACTTTAAGTACAATACTGCCCCACACAGGCAAAAGAGATTAACGCGCCAGAGTGTGAAACAAATAAAAATGACTTCAAAGTTTCTGTTTTGTCAATCAATCAATCAATCAAACTTTATTTGTCTAGCACTTTTCATAGATTTGAAAAGTAACACAAAGAGCTTCACATACAACAGAAAAATGAGAATAATTAAAAACACCAGTGTAAGGAGACTTTTACCTACCGGACGTCCGCTGTCCACTGGTCGCTGACGTAGGTGTAGAAGGTGCAGGCCGAGTTCTGGTTGCACTTCTGCTCACACGCCTGAACACTGGGGACGTCTTTCAGGACCTTGTAGGCTCCTTTCTGCATGTTCACGCCCGGTTGAGGCCCACACTTTGGAGCTGCAAAACACAAGAGGAGTTTGTTGGGACTGAACTTCTGTACCACTTCATCAGGCTTTTATCTGGAGCTCGGTTGCTCAGTTCAGTTTTCACACCGAGACAGTACAGCAGTCGACTTGAAGTTTAGGCCCGGACACGTTAATGCCTTAACTTTGAGTTAACTAATTCATTTATTATCTGTGTGTTCTGTTTTCTAGTTGTGTGTTTTCAAGGCAAGGCAAGTTTATTTGTACAGCACAATTCGTACACAAAGTAATTCAAAGTGCTTTACAGAATAAGAAATACATTAAAATCATAATAAAAACAAATCAAAACATAAATAATCATGAAGATTAAAATTTAAAAAGAGAGACATAAATTGGAGAGAAGAGTGCGGAATGAAAACCTTTCAGTTATTTGCACAGTTAAACAGAAATGTTTAGAGTCTGGATTTAAACAGCGTCACAGAAGAGTCTGTCTCACATGTTCAGACTGTTCCAGGTTTTAGCTGCATGAACCTGAAACTCTGACTCCCCTTGTTTAGTCGTGACTCTGGGCACCAGCAGGAGTTGGTCCCTGAGCTCCTCAGAGTGTGAGATGTTCATATGACACTAACATGTCACATATGGACTTTGGTGCTCGGCCATGGAGACACTTGTACAAGCAGAGCTGCTTTAAAGTCTCTGAGCCACAGGAGCCAGAGCAGAGACCTGAGACCAGGACTTATGTGCTCGTACTTCCTAGTTCGAGTCAGGACCCGAGCTGGATGCAGTTCGTTCTGGATGTTCTGGATGTTCTGGATGTTCTGGATGTTCTGGATGTTCTGGATGTTCTGCAGCGTCTCACAGCTCGTTTGGAGAGACCAGTGAGCAGAACATTACAGTATCTAACCTACTGGAGACAAACGCATGGATAAGTTTCTCCAAGTCTGATTTAGACAGTAAACCTTTGATTTTTGCTCTGTTTTTTAGATGGTAAAAGGCTGTCACTATTACTATTATTATTACTATTATTATTACTATTACTATCACTATTACTGTTACTATTACTAAAATATAATCTATAATTATCATGACAGCGGAGACGTGCGCCAAGCTGGAGCCGGAGGACAGTGAGAAACCCGCTCCAACGCAAAAACAAACACTACTATTACTATTACTATTACTATTACTATTACTATTACTATTACTATTACTACAGGGAGAGAGAAAGAGAAAGAGAAGGAAAGATGAGGGAGAGAAGGAGGAAGAGAGAAAGAGAGAGAGAGAAGACAGGAGAAAGAAAGTGAAAAAGAGAGAGAGAGAGAAAGAGAAAGAGAGAGAGAAGGAGGGAGAGGAGAAGGTGTCTGCAGGGGCGTGGGAGGGCATCTGACACACGGGGGAGTCTGCAGGGGCGTGGGAGGGCATCTGACACACGGGGGAGTCTGCAGGGGCGTGGGAGGGCATCTGACACACGGGGGAGTCTGCAGGGGCGTGGGAGGGCATCTGACACACGGGGGAGTCTGCAGGGGCGTGGGAGGGCATCTGACACACGGGGGAGTCTGCAGGGGCGTGGGAGGGCATCTGACACACGGGGGAGTCTGCAGGGGCGTGGGAGGGCATCTGACTCTTTTCCTGTGGCCTCCTCAGTGGACGAGAACATCGACGTGACGAGTAACGAGCCGGATCGCGCCTCGGACTTCCCCGTGTCGCTGTATCCCTCCGCCTCAGAGAGCGTCTACGAGACGTCGGCGCGGCTCCTCTTCATGTCCGTCAAATGGGCCAAGAACCTCCCCGTGTTCTCCAACCTGCCCTTCAGAGACCAGGTACTGGACCGGGACCGGGACCGGGACCAGGACCAGAGCAGGACCAGGACCATGACTAGACCAAGACCAGACCAAGACCAGAGCAGGACCAGAGCAGGACCAGGACCAGAGCGAGACCAGACCAAGAGGAGACCAGGACGAAACCAGGACTGTATCAGAACTTAAACACGGACTAAATCAGGACTAAAGCAGGACTAAACTAGAGCTAAACCAGAACTAAAACAGGTCTAAACCAGGATTTAAACCAGGATTTAAACCAGGACTAAACCAGGACTAAACCAGGTCTAAACTAGGTCTAAACCAGGACTACACCAGGATTAAACCAGATTTAAAAACCAGGACTAAACCAGGTCTAAAGGTGCATGTACTACTACTACTACTGCTACTGCATGTACTACTACTGCATGTACTACTACTGCATGTACTACTACTACTGCATGTACTACTACTACTACTACTGCATGTACTACTACTGCATGTACTACTACTGCATGTACTACTACTACTGCATGTACTACTACTGCATGTACTGCATGTACTACTACTGCATGTACTACTACTACTGCATGTACTACTACTGCATGTACTACTACTACTACTGTACTACTACTGCATGTACTACTACTGCATGTACTACTACTACTGCTACTACTACTACTACTACTGCATGTACTACTACTGCATATACTACTACTGCATGTACTACTACTACTACTGCATGTACTACTACTGCATGTACTACTACTACTGCATGTACTACTACTGCATGTACTACTACTACTGCACAATACATGTACTACTACTACTGCACAATACATGTACTACTACTACTGCATATACTACTACTGCATGTACTACTACATGTACTACTACTGCATGTACTACTACTACTGCATGTGCTACTACTGCATGCTACTACTACTACTGTACTACTAGTACTACTACTACTGTACTACTGTGTACTACTACTGCTACTACTACTACTACTACTGCACAATACATGTACTACTACTACTACTACTACTGCATGTACTACTACTACTACTACTGCATGTACTACTACTGCTACTGCACTACTACTACTGTGCATACTACTACTACTACTACTACTACTGCTACTACTACTACTACTACTGTACTACTACTACTACTACTACTACTACTACTGTACTACTACTGCATGTACTACTACTGCATGTACTACTACTACTACTGCATGTACTACTACTACTACTGTACTACTACTACTGACTACTACTACTACTGCATGTAGTACTACTGCATGTACNAGGACTAAACCAGGACTAAACCAGGACTAAACCAGGACCCAGGAAAACCAGGATTAAACCAGACCAGGTAAACAGACAGTCTAAACCAGGACCAGATGAAACCAGGTTAACCAGGACAACCAGGTCTAAACCAGGTCTAAACCAGGACTAAACAGGACTAAACCAGGACTAAACAGGTCTAAACCAGGTCTAAACCAGGTCTAAAACAGGTCTAAACAGGTCTAAACCAGGTCTAAAACCAGGTCTAAACCAGGTCTAAACCAGGTCTAAACCAGGTCTAAACCAGGTCTAAACCAGGTCTAAACCAGGACTAAACCAGGTCTAAACCAGGTCTAAACCAGGTCTAAACCAGGTCTAAACCAGGTCTAAACCAGGTCTAAACCAGGTCTAAACCAGGACTAAACCAGGACTAAACCAGGTCTAAACCAGGTCTAAACCAGGTGTGTGTTGTTCAGGTGATCCTGCTGGAGGAGGCGTGGAGTGAGCTCTTCCTCTTGTGTGCGGTGCAGTGGTCTCTGCCTCTGGACTCCTGCCCCCTGCTGGCCGTGCCCGAGCTCTGCACGTCCCAGGGCAAGTCCGGTCTGAGCGCTCTGGACCTGAGGCTGCTCCAGGAGGTCTACACCCGCTTCAAGAACCTCTCTGTAGACCCCACCGAGTTCGCCTGCCTCAAGGCCACCGTGCTCTTCAAACCAGGTCAGAACCAGGACTGAACCAGGACTGAACCAGGTCAGAACCAGGACTAAACCAGGACTAAACCAGGACTGAAAACAGGACTGAACCAGGACTGAACCGGACCAGGACTGAACCAGGACCAGGACTAAACAGGACTGAACCAGGACTGAACCACCAGGAACCAGGACTAAACCAGGACTAAACCAGGACTAAACCAGGACTGAACCAGGACTAAACCAGGACTAAACCAGGTCTAAACCAGGGACTAAACCAGGACTAAACCAGGACTAAACCAGGACTGAACCAGGACTAAACCAGACTAAACCAGGACTGAACCAGGACTAAACCAGACTAAACCAGGGACTAAAACCAGGAACCAGGACTAAACCAGGACTAAACCAGGATAAACCAAGACCTAAACCAGGACTAAACCAGGACTAAACCCAAGGACAGGAAAACCAGATTTAACCAGGATAAACCAGAACTAACCAGGTCTAAACCAGTCTAAACCAGGTCTAAACCTTAACCGACCAGGACTGAAACCAGGAAAAACCAGGACTAAACCAGGACTAACAGGTCTAAACCAGGACTAAACCAGACTAAACCAGGTCTACCAGGTTTAAACAGGACTAAACCAGGTCTAAACCAGGTAAACCGTCACAACCAGGTTGTGTTGTTGCAGTGATCTGCTAGGAGGCGGGAGTGAGCTCTTCCTCTTGTGTGCGGTGCAGTGGTCTCTGCCTCTGGACTCCTGCCCCTGCTGCCGTGCCGAGCTCTGCACGTCCAGGGCAAGTCCGGTCTGAGCGCTTGACCTGAGGCTGCTCCAGGAGGTTACACGCTTAAGAACCTCTCTGTAGACCCCCGTTCGCCTGCTCAAGGCCACCGTGCTCTTCAAACCAGGTCAGAACGCAGGAACTGACTGAACCAGGACTGAAAGGACTAAACCAGACTAAACCAGACTAAACCAGGACTAAACCCTAAACTAGGACTAAACCAGGACTAAACCAGGACTAAACCAGACTAAACCAGGACCTGTAACATGCACTCTGGTGGTTTGAACAAAGTGAGAAGTGACTGGGATAAAGATGAGCTCTTCTAAATCTGAGGTCACGGTTCTTGACCTGAAAAAGGTGGCGCCCTCTCCAGGTGATGGAGAGTTTCTGTCTCGAGTGGAGGAGTTCAGGCGTCTCTCTGCGTCTGCAGTGATGTGGTCGCTGTACTGGACTGTTGTGGTGAAGAAGAAGCTCGAGTCAAAAGACAAAACTCTTGATTTACCGCTCAGTCTACACTCCTGCCCTCACCTACGATCATGAGGTTTGGGTAAAGATCAAAAGGACAAGATGGAGGTTACAAACAGTAGAAATAAGTTTCCTCTGCAGGGTGGCTGGACACTGCCTTAGACAAAGACTCAGGTCAAATATATTCTCTGATCCTGGTGTATGTTTTGGCTGCTCCACCAGGCCTCTGTAATCTGACAATTATACAGCAAATATCAACATTGTAAAATACATAAAAACAACTAACTTCCTTATGATTTTACTGGAATAATAATAAAAAGTCAGACCATAAAAATCAATGTTTGATGAAGTGTTTCTAACCTTTGATGAGTTGATAAATGAGGTCAAAGTCGACTGCAAACACGGCCTATAAAACCCCTCTCACAGTTTGGATCATGATTCTGCCTTTGAGATGAAGACCATGCAGTCGTCCATCTTCTTCCTGCTGCTTCTGGGTGTGTCCCTGGGTTTGGATGCTCCACCTGAGCTCAGTGAAGTGAAGCTGGTTCGGGGGAACCTGTCCCCATGTACTGGTTCAGCTTCAACGGTCGCTGTTACAAGTACGTGGCCACACGTAGGAGACCTGGGCTGATGCAGAGAGGTTCTGTTTGTCTCAAGGGCGCCCAACCTTGGTGTCCATCCACAGTCTGGCAGAACACAACTTTGTGAAGAGTTTTGATCCGGAAGTTTGATCAAGCTCTGGGACGAACCTTGGATTGGACTCAGTGACATCCACAAAGAAGGAACATGGCTCTGGACTGACGGTTCTCCAGTGGTGTTTACGAAGTGGAGTGCCAGAGAACCAAACAGACTGGAATGATAATGAAGACTGTGTGGAAATCTGGTTATGGTACAGAAAAAAACTGGAATGATGTTCCTTGCTCACTTACCTCTCCCTCTGTCTGTGTAAAACGTAAACTTGGCTGTTAGAAATGATGCCACAAACCAACACCTGGACATGGACTTTATTTTCTGATTTGATTATAAAGTTCTACAATCTGAATAAATTTTGTTTTGTTTTGTGGAAATACCAAACTGATTCTAATGTATGTAAACTGTAATAACTAAACACTGATCAAACAATGACTCTGTGATTACAAAACAAAATGTTAAATCAAATTTTACACATTTATATGCAGGTTATTTTATATTTTTTGTGTAGACAGTTTATAGTTTTGTCATTGACTTGATCTGTGAATAAAAAAACTGGAGTCTGCTGCCACTTCGTCTTGTTTCACTGTAAAGTGTAATGTTCATCTGATACAATACGTATAATAAATGTGCAGTGGATTCAGCTGCTGTTTTGTTTTTCTGTGTGTGACTGCGTCACTATTGCAACAACATCATTATTTCCAATTTATTCTGATGACATCACTTCAAATTATGTCCAACAACACCACTCCATATTTACCATTTACAGCACCATCTGTTAGTGAACAACAATATGGATTTAGATGGAGTAGATCCACTTCAGTGGAACTGGTGGAGAAGAAATCAACTGCATGTGATAAGAAAGAGAACACTGTTGGTGTTTTTATAGACTTAAGGCGTTCGACACAATAGACCACACATTACTACTGAACAAACTGGAGAGGTTTGGGATTAGGGGCATTGCACATGATTGGATAAAAAGTGACATAATTGTTATAGATCAATATGTTCAAATAAATAATGTAAACTCAGCCAAGAAGAATATCACACATGGAGTTCCCCAAGGATCTGTACTGGGCCCCAAATTATTTATAATCTACATAAACCATATCGATAAAGTGTAAAAAATGTACAGAGTATTTTATTTGCTCCTGACACCAGCTTGTATTGATCTGAACAAGATCTTGATCATCTCTTGAATAAAGTTCAAACTGAACTTGTAACTTTAAACAAATGGTTTGATATGAATTAACTAATTTTGGAAATTGAATAAATAAATAAACGGTGCCACATAAAAAACCTTGGGGATAAATATAGATTATAAATTAAATTGGAAATTGCACATAAACATACTGAAGACAAAGATCACAAAAAATCATTGCTATATTATGTAAAATTAAAAACTGTGTAACTCAAAATGCACTCAGACTATTATATAACGCTCTCATCCTTCCATACTTTAACTATTGTGTGAAAATATGGGGGAATAATTATAAAACAAATATCAATTCCATTTTCTTACTGCAAAAGAAAACTATTAGAATTGTCAATAATGCAGATTACTGTGAATCAACAAATGTTCTTGTTATTAAATGAAATACATTAAAATGACATGATCTTGTTGATCTCAATACTGCAGTTGTGATGTTTAAGACACATAATAATCAGCTCCCTCAGAGGATCCAAGAGATGTTCAGACCCAGAGAGAGTGAGTCCAGTCTGAGAGGAGCGGGCCTCTTTCACAAAGCTCATGTGAGGACCAGACTGAAAAGTCCATGTGTCTCCATCAGAGGAGTTCATCTGTGGAACAGTCTGGATGAAACATTAAAAGGCTCTAAAACTATTTACACATTTATAAAAATGTATAAGACCAGAATTATAGAGAAATACAGATAGACATATGTAGACCCCTCCCAGTGACGTCACTGCAAAGTGTCAATAGAAATATCCAAGAACCAGCTGCCGTCTGTGAAAATCCAAAGTTTAAGCTCCTTCTTCTTCAGCCCAGTTGAAGAGATTCAAGAGCAAAAAGTCACAAGAGACGGACAATCCAAAACATTCACACTCCAAATATTGTATTAAAATGTGAACAAAACTCCAGCCTGCTGCTTGTGTCGCTCTTGTATCTGTTTGTTGTGGTTTTGTGCAGTTTTCTGTCCCTGTTTTGTTGTAGTTTTTATTAGTTCTGCAGAATAAAGTTTATTGAATTGACTTTATTGTTTTATTAGTGTTTTCTGTACGACCTTCACAGTCACTTATTAATCATCTGCAAAAACACAGGTGAAATTACTTTAATCTTCTGGTATCAGGGATAATAAAAAACACACTTTAAGAGCTTCAAGACAAAAGTTCAGAAGTTGTTCCTGTGGGTTTCCTTTGCACTCCCAGACTGCTGCCATATTCAGCCCATTGTAAACAAAGAAAGCAGTCATATAGAGTGGTTCAGCTGCAGAACGTCTGATGAAGTATAAAATGTCTTCATCCAAAGGAGGTTTTGTGTTGCTCCTTCTGAAGTGTGAACTGACCTTGGATTGGTCTTAATAAACTTGAACTTCCTTTTGGCTCTGTGCACATCACAGACGCTTCTTTACTGGGGCTGAGTTCTTTATGGTTTTACAATATTGTGATGAAGAATTAGGTTCATAAAAATCCTGTCAATGTTTGATCAAGTGTTTTTTAAACTCCAATGATTTCCTTATGTCTGTTTACATCTCCAAAGCTCAAAATGCTCTGTTCCACCTTGTGATGTCATGTAGTAGTTCTCATGTTTAGTTTTCAGGTTTTGTGGAAACAATTTATATATCTTTTGGAGAAAAACATAATAAATCCATTTGAGTTTTTGAAATACAGACCAAAGTTTATTGTAGTTAGAGCAGATGTGGACAGGGACCTGCCCTGGTTTGTGTCCAAGTGACCACAGTTCCTCGTACAAGCCTGTTGGATTCCAAGATGTTTACTTTTAACATGGGCTGTGATGAAGAATGTGATCAAGCATTTCCAATTAAACTCCCACCACTGCTGTGAGTTTGTAGAAGTTTGGAATGAATTACACATTTGGTACTAATGATCTTATCTCCTGTTCCCACTTTGTTTTCACACTTAGTGAAGACACATTCAGATTCTCCATCAAACATCATAAAGTTTTGACACAGTTTTACAGTTTTTTTGATGATAGGCACCACACATTATTTCAATAATCAGACTGACCTTGCCCAAAGACCTCTTCTTAATCTGTGTTGTAATAATCCCTTAATTGTGGGTATCTGAAGAAGTCCTGATTGTTTAGGTTAAATTGAATTCTTTACTTTACTTCATTATTTTTGATAACCAAGCAAAGAGCTGTTAAACCCCTGTCCATCCACTGTTTGAAAACAGAGTCATATATCCCGGGCCTAAAGTCTTTATCGAGGGAATATCCATCTCAACATCCTCTGACTATTTTTTAGGTCCAATTGTTTCATTAGAGAGAACCACATTTCCAAAGAAAATATGGTTACTGGGTTAAGTTTAGTTCTACTTGTGTCAGGTATACTGTTCTCCCCTAGCAAAGTTTGGACAGCGTAGCCCTGTATGTTGGTCTCAACGTTCTTCCACCTCGCAGAGTATGAATTATCACACCAGAGAACTAGAGGGCGCACTTGTGCATCTTGAAAGTACAGTTTTAAGTTTGGCAGAGACATTCTGTCTTTATTTTTTGGCAGCTGCAAAGTGAAGAAACGTTTTCTTGCTTTTTTTCCACCCCATATGAATCTCAATACCATTTTGTCCCAAACTGCAAATTGCTGAGCATGAATTTCTGTTGGGAGGGATTGAAATAAATATAGTAACCAAGGGAGAATATTCATTTTAATTACACTTATCCTGCTACTAAAATCCAGTGGGT